GGCTTACAAAGAAGAATAAAACATTATAAAATACAATCAAATAAAAACCATCAGTATATATAAATCAATGACATAATTATATCAACAAATTAGAGGATCAAGATGGAAAAAAAACTAAAGAAAAAAGAAAATCAGGTGTTGGAATCTGGAAAGGTTGCTTTAAACGTTGGCTATTGATGAGAACTGGGATAAATTAAGAAGAAATGGCAAACTGGAAGAATTTTTTTAATCCCCTAGTTTCTGATGGATTACAATATTACCAGTGGATGATGATGTGGGAGAGTATTATCTTCGTTGATTAATTCTAAGGATGTAACAAATACATACCATGTTTCTTGTCCTCAGTGAAACAGGATGTCTCAACATATCCTGACACCTGGCTAAAAAACTTCTCAATGGCTGTGACATTTTCCAATCTTTTTGTTATCAATTTATTTCCAATACCTGTATATGGTGACCCTATGAATTAGTGGATCATTATCATTACCAGCCCTGCAAATTAAAGGCTGTGGTTCTTTATTAATTCAATCCATCTCATATCAGGTCTTCCTCTTTTCCTACTGCCATCTACTTTTTCCAAGCACTATTGTCTTTTCCATTAAGTACAGTACAGTGGTGCCTCGCGTTATGATGTTAATTCGTTCCAGCGAAATCGCTGTAGAACGAAAACATCATAAAGCGATTTTTAAAAGCCCATAGAAACGCATTAAAACCCGATCAATGTGTTCCTATGGGCTTGAAACTCACCGTCCAGCGAAGATCCTCCATAGTGCAGCCATTTTCGCTGCCTGTGCAGCGAGGAATCCGTCCTAGAAAACAGTGCACGGCCATTTTTTCCCCAGCGGCCATTTTGAAACTGCCAATCAGCTGTGCGAAAATCTTCGTTTTGTGATAATTGGTTAGCGAAGCAGGTAACCAATCATCGCAAAGCGAAAAAAACCCATAGAAAACATTGTTTTGCGATCGCAAAAACTTCTTCGTTATGCGATTTCTTCGTTAAAGGAAGTGCTCGTCTTGCAAGGCACCACTGTATTACCTTTTGTTAGACGCCCAAAGGATAATAACTTCACTTTAGTCCTTTTAGTTTCTAATGAGAGTTGCTTGATAAAGAAGGCAAGAATTCTTTTATTAGTCCTTCTTGTGGCCCTTGGTATCTGTAAAACTTTTTATTTTCCTTGTTAGCTTTTTCACCATCCAGCTTTCGCCTCGATAAACAGTACTGGGAATATAGTAGCATGGATGATGTTGGTCTTGGTCTCCAACGACACATTTCTTCTTGCTCTTTCGTCACTCTTCTTCCAAGTCATCTTCTTAGCTGCATTTTTTACTTTGGCTGGAATCCAGTTCTTTGTGACATTGTCAAGTTGTTAGATGATGCATGAACTAAGCTGTCAGAGCACTATGTAATTTACAGCACTCCTTGACCGTTCTGCCTGTGAAGTCTGTCACAGCAAACAATCCCAATACAGGATTTTATATGCAGTGCAATCCAGTTGATTTTTTTTTATCTACAAAGAACTTTCTCACTCTGAGTATCCTTCAAATGTTTTGCCCCAGAAGCACACAAAGTGTCCAAAAGAATTATTCTTGTTCTTCCTTATATTGAATACACAACCAAGGTTAGATGGGGCATTACATTCAGGCAAAGCAGACTGCGTAATTCGATTGCACAGTTGATCACAGGGGTCCTATTATGACTGATTGTGCAATGCACCGGCAGAAGTGCTTCATGGATAGCACTTTCAGCTTAATGCTACCATAGCTACTGTGGGTGTAACATCAAGTTATACATGAGTGGCTGGCTATGCAATAGGATTCTGGCTGTAGATTCATAACTGAACCAAGTGCAGAAAATATGTAATAATTTTGATTTCTTTACTGCCAACGTTACATTTGCATATTTTTTTGCTACTGGTGTTTGTTACACCAATTTTTACTCCAGCATCTGAATTTAACCCAACTTCCCAGATTATATGCCCTGAATAAAGACTGAACAGATGGAGATAAAATTAAGTTTTATCTGATACTTCTCCCAGTTGGAGACCATTATTTTCTCCATATTCTATCCTAACAGTAGCTTCCATGTTCTGTCCTAACAATAGCCTTTTTCACTCTTACATGATGATGACAATAACGGCAACAACAATCAGGGCTATTTTTTGTCACCCTCTTCATTTGCACATGCACATGGGTACACACACAAGGATTTTATACCCTCTCCATTAGTTTTGGGCAAAGGCTTGCATTTTTGCATGGAATTTACGTTTTTTCTATTCAAAACTTCTACATTTCCCCCTGCCCATGGACTGGAATGGAAACAATGCTCAAAACTCTCATAATCTTGTCTAATGAAGAGAGATTATTTGAACATTTTCATTCTCATCAGTGAGAAGAAAATAAATGAAGATTTACATCCACCAATCTTCCAAACTCCAGTTACTTTTAGAAGTTTATTTATTGGATTCTTAGCATATTGAAGTTTCTTTTCCCAAAATGCTATTTAAATATTGTACAGTGGTGCCTCGCAAGACGGGCACTCCGTTTAACGGCTAATCCGCATTGCGATGAGGTTTCTGTGATTGCAAAAGCGATCGCAAAACGACATTTGAATGGGGGAATTTCGCTGCACGATGATCAGCTCCCTGTTTCGGGAACCGATTTTTGCTTCCCGACGATCAAAACAGCTGATTGTCGGGTTTTCAAAATGGCCGCCGGGTGCTCAAAATGGCTCCCCGCTGTGTTTAGGAGCCATTTTTTGCTGCACAGGCACCCGAAAATGGCCGCCCCTATGGAGGATCTTTGCTGGACGGTGAGTTCTTAGCCAATTGGAACACATTAACCAGGTTTCAATGCATTTCAATGGCTTTTTTATTTTTGCTTTACGACGTTTTCATTCTGCAGCGGATCGTTTGGTCCACTGGTCCTTTATCAGAACAGTGGTGTTTATAGTACTGGTGCAGTATAAGGGATGAAGACAATTTTAATTTACAGGTGTCGTGCAGATTATTTTTCCATCTTTCATGAAAAATGAAGCATGGGGCCAATATAATCCTGACTTCTTAAGGACGTCCAAGAAGACACTTACCTAGAAAGAGTGAATTAAGAGGAAAAACCTGCCTGCTTATTCTAGCAGGAGCTTGCCTTAGTCTGCATTTGGCAAATTAGTTTGCTTTTTCAATCAGCTAATAGGTAAAATGTGAAATGTGTATGCCTTCAAGTTAATCCTGACATGGAGATCCTTTTCAGGGTGTTCTAGGTACAGGGTACGCAGAAGTTAAATATTCCCATCCCATTCTGGAAACATCCTGGGACTGTGAAACTCTGCCATAACAAAACACAGGAATGAAGTTCCAAAGCTTGTACTTGAGGAGATGAGCAGAATCCAATAATGCATGCTTGAGAGATCATGGAGAATGTGCATACATGAATAGAGGAATTTTTGTATATTTCTCTGTTTAATGTGCAGTGTCTAAACGAAGTCGGGGAAAGTGTATGACTTCACAGAATGACCAGATTAAGTAGTATATTTAGCAGTCTCTGTGCATATATTCCACTTGGTAAGTATGCACATTCTTGGCCAGCAAATGAATAAAAGCTATGTATAATAACTGAAGATTATGTACGTGTCTGAACTGGATAATCTACATGACATCCTGTTGAGCATGGCTAGCTAAACATATAGAATGGCTAGTATTTAATTATATTCTCCGTACTAATCACAT